TTGTCACAGTGTCCTTCCACAAGGGGACACCATTTGCTAATAGGACATCCTTTCCACAGCCCAGCAAGTCAAAAGAAGAAGAGCTCAGAGACAGGATGATCTATTCAATCAATAATAAGTAATTTTTCAGCTCATGGAACATATTAGTCTAACTCAGTGATTGCAAAGCTGAATTATAAACCATCTGATACCTACTGTAGTCTTCTTGACATACCAGCCAGTAGCATGTCCAAGAACACTGGCCACCTCTCTAATGAGTCACAATAGGGACATACTAATTACAAGTAATGTGGAGAGAAATTGCTACCAAGAAGATGGTATCTCTAGCTTTTGGAATGAAGGTTCTCATGCTTAGGAAACCATCTGTTTATCCTAAAGAACCACCCTGCCTACTTTATTGGTGACTGAGAAGAACCTCAAATTGGGATTCAGGCTTTCTTCTCCTAGAATCCTCTCTGATACCGGGCATGACAATAATAGACTTTAACTGCATTTGCCTGGAAAATGTTTCCTGCCTTTGCTCCTGAACACCAACATTTCAGAAGAAAGAAGGTATCAATATGAAGTCATTTTGGGGGGGCTTCACTGTTTGAATAACAACATCAATGGAGGAAGTCCTTATTTTATAAAGCAAAAGAAAGTGAGCAAACATGTAATATTGGGTAAATATATCTAAAAATTGACAACAAAAATGGGAAGGGTTAATATTTTCAGCATTAAGTATTGGTACAGGGGTCTGAACTAATTCAAGAACACATATCATGTGTTCATGGCTTTCAATGAAGCCTTGGTGAGAGCCAGCTATAGGTTTTATCACTCTTCTTTATAAATATTTGTCTGTCTACATCTTTGATTTATTCTTCCATTCCTTCATTCAACAAAGAGCTATGGGGAGAGTGCTACACATACTGCAACATTCCAGGAGTTGTGGGAGCCACAAAGGTAATGAAAGTTTGCATTTTATGAAATACTTTCCCATTTCATTTTGTCCTTATACCAATACTGTGACATGCTAATGGTACACTAAAGTTTGTACTAAGGAAAAAATAATAATAAAATGAAAGCATGAAAGGTAAGCAATTTGAGCTAATTCTCTCTTAACATTTCTTTGGAAGGAACTATGACAAGTGTATTTTTATCTCTAGGCAAATTTATTGATTCCAGATCTTCTTCCATCTGTTTCTTTCCTATAAAAGCTTTAATCTCAAGGCTTTTTAGACACTAGGCTAGCCAGAAAGCTGGCCACATACAAATGGGAATTTAGGCTGCAAAGTTTAATTTCTCTGTGCAAGGTATTTGTGCAGAAAGATGATTACAGAGCTTGTATCAGAGAGCTCCAGGGACTGGTGTCATGTAAGTCATAGAAAACAGGTGTTTTTCAGTGGGGAATGGTGTTTTTATCCACAATCTCCTTGTGGTTTTGGTAACACTCTGGCCATTGTCAAACCTGTCAGGTTTCTTCTTTATGAACTTACCAAGTACCCTTGTAAGGTCTAAATTAGACACATAGTTTTATAAAAAAAAGAAGGGAAGGGAAATATTACAGATACGTACTAATATTCTGGGAGTCTGCCAGTTCATCAATAACTACAAAAACAAAGGCAGTCGGACAGGAATTCAGAGGCCCCCGCTGCCTCTATTAGGATGTTCACATCCCGCCACATGCCCGGGTCAGGAGACAATAAGCAGAAACTCTGCTGTCAAGGCTCAGAGGAGTAGCGATGGGGGTTGAGTTTGCCCATTAACAACCTCAAACTTACAGACAAAATGCGCGGCTGGGTCAGAACACAGACCGCGCTTTTTAGCGGGGCGGCCTGATAATGACACCCCCCACCCTTTTCTTTTTGTGCGCTTACTTTTGAATGTGTTTTAAAGTTTTGACCCTTAGAAGAGGTGGGCCCTTGTTCTTTCACAGCCAAATTGTAAGAATGTATGGAAAGGAAAAAAAAAAAACGATCATTTGTTATTCTGGCATGATGATTCTGAATTCCTTGGGTCAAACTAAGCTCTATTTTAATATACTGTTTTACAAAATGCATAAAGGTTTCTTAAAAATGTTTCAGTCATGACTTTGCTGCAGATATCTAGAAGAAAATTAACAAAAAATACTGCTTTTTAAACAATATTTCTGTTAATTTTATTAGAAAAGGAAAAGTTATTGTAAACCACTATATTCTTTTAAAAATATATGTATAAAATTGTGAGGGTTATAGCTGGTATAATATTTTAATAGTGCTTTTTGGAATAGTTGCCTTTACTGTAATTTATCTAGCTATAAGATTTAATAGATATACTTTAAATATGATGTCTAATGAGTTAGTATTAGTGAAAATACGAAATTGTGATGTACCTCAATTAATTAAAAATTTTTTTTTTTTTTTTTCGGTGAGACAGGGTTTCGCTCTGTTGCCTAGGCTGGAGTGCGGTGGTGTGATCACAGCTCACCACAACCTCAAAACCTCCAACTCCTGGGCTCAAGTGATCCTCCTGGCTCAGCCTCCTGAGTACCTGGAACTACAGGTGGGTGCCGCCATACTGGCTATTGTTTTAAAAAATTTTTTGTAGAGATGGAGTCTTGCTGTGTTGCCCAGACTAGTCTTGAACTTCTGGTTCAAGTGATCCTCCTGCCTCGGCCTCCCAAAGTGCTGAGATTACAGGTGCGAGCCACCACACCCGGCAACAACACCTTTCATTCTTTAAAACGATGCTTTCTCATTATAGTCACAAGATTGGCTTGCCAACCCAACCCCTGCTTTCGCCATCCCACTGATTCCTGACTAAGCCCGAAATGCTTGGATGGTATTTGTTACTAGAGAAATATGTCTTCTTTGTGCACTATTATTTTTTAAAAAAGTAAAAAATCCAAATTCATTTATACTATCCCACATGGACTCCACCAATGGAGTTTCTCTAATTTTCCAGACTTGACTAAAATTCAATTGTAGGACTTAAGCAAACCATTCTATCTGTTGTAGGAAGTTCATGTGTCAGCAGTAACCCTCACGATGAACTTTTTTCTGTGCAATGTCAATTCCTGCGAATAAATAAGGACACATTCAAAGATGGCCCAGAGAGCAGGGTTTGAGTCCTAGATTACACTAAAAACTTATTTCTCTTTTTCCCCCTGCTTTCAACTAAACCGAAACCCTACCAATGCCACCATCATTTCTGAAGATCTTATAATCAGAGCGGCTCTCCTGCCCAGTCTCATCTGATGGTAGCACATTTTCTGTGCTCTTTTTTGCCTCGTTGGCAATCTAGCCTGCTATCACTTTGAAAACAGTGCAAAGGAAGTGCTTTCCATTAACTTCCAATTTATTCGTTTCCTATTGCGATCCTAAAATGAGCAAAAGGAATGCTAAGAACAGAATTTTAATGTAATTCAATTGAAAAGGTTTGTTCCTCTGACAAAATCATGCTGCTGGGTAACACTCATTTTATTAAAAGGGAATCTGTCAAAAAAGAAAAGCAATTCAAGCTATAGGAGAACTAAGCTTTATGTATAAGACCCATTCTAGAAAAGTTGTACAGAAAATATTTATATATTGAATCTTTTTTTTCTACTGACTTTTATTATAATCTTAGAGGAGTACTCCTATAGAAAATTCTTTTGCTTTGGTCTATCATTGTGCAAATCGCACTTAGGAATCCAATATTCATTTTAAGGACTACTTTGATGTCCACTACTGGGCATCTACTCAAGAGATCAAAAGTCACTTTATGAAAAAGACACCTGCACTCGAATGTTTATAGCAGCACAATTCACAATTGCAAAGCTGTGGAAACAACCCAAGTGCCCATCAATTCATGAGTGGATTAATAAAATGTGGTATATGTATACCATGGAGTACTACTCAGCTTTAGGAAACAATGGTGATATAGTATATTCCTGGATAGGGCTGGAACCCATTCTACTCAGTGGAGTATCTCAAGAATGGAAAAACAAGCAACACATGTACTCACCAGAAAAATTGGTATTAACAGATCAACATGTAAGTGGACATATAGGAATAACATTTATCGGGTGTCAGGCAGGTGGGAGGGGGGAGGAGGGGATGGGTATATACCAACCCAATGAGTAAGATGTGCAATGTCTGGGGGATGGACACGCTTGAAGCTCTGACTCGAGGGGAGAGGGGGGTCCATGGGCAATATATGTAACCTTTTAGATTCCAAAATAAAAACTTAAACTAATTAACTAATACCAGCGAAGGGGCTTTTAGTCAAGTGAACAAGCAATCAAAAATTGTTTTCCATAAGTATTCACTACAAAGTCCACATACCGTAAAATACACAACAGTGAATTTTCATTTCATTCTTACTGACCTCACAAAGTGTGACTGTTCAGGGAGCACAGTGCCTGGGCCCCACTCCACACCTGTGTCAGAATACCTGGCTGAATGAGCCTCACACCTTTCGTAAGCTTTCAGACGGCGACCAGTAATTCCTGATTTGCATTTAGTTGTAAGGTTCTTTTAAGGATAGTTTAGTTTCTCCAATAACTCATTATAAAAAGTTAAGCCCTTCTTTTTGGTAAGAATAACATTTGTAGTACTGACATAAACAGCAACATTCTTAGTAAATATTTTTAAAGTTTCTCTTCAATGAAAGCTCCCAACACAGTCAGCTTTATCAGTTGTGCAAATCCAAACTCAAAGGGTTTATGCCTACAACCAGAGCTGTCATGGCTCTCAAAAGGTTTAGTGCTAAACAGTAGGTCTATATGAAGCAAAATATCAATCCTTAAGTAGAGGTAGATTTACCATGAAGCTCATTGAAACTTAAGCTTCAAGGCTTCTCACTTGCACTTCCAAGGCCTAGCATTAATTTGGTATCTCATAATTTTGCCTTCTTTTTCAGAAAGAGGGATCCAAAAATTATAGAAGCTCTAGACATTGAAAAACACAGATTCCTTTGGCCATTAAGATTATAGTGTTATTATAGATTATGGTATTATATCACAGTATTTTATAATCAGAGTAGAATTTTCATATACTTACTCAAAAAATGTTGTCCATCCAGTTTCATCGCTTTTAGTGGCTAGAAGGCCACTATTGCCGTGGTAAGTAAACAAAACTAATTCTAGTCCTTGAGCAGTCATGCTTTTCAAACATCCGTTTGTTCCTATTGTCAACCATATCACCTGGTTATCCGGAGACACCACTCGAACTGGCATCCGATTAGGGTCCCGTCTAATTCTCAGGGTATTGCCATTGCTGTCTGTCACAGCGGTAATATCATTGTCATTGCTGTAGCTAAAATTGTACAGGTAATCGCCGGTGACTAAACTCACAGTGTATTGGTGAGTACCATTGATGTCAAAGATGTAGAGTTCTTGGTCAGTTGGAGACGCAACTTCATAAAAGTTCATGGAGTTAAGTAAAGGCTTATTCTTTGACACAGCCCGGATCCGAATATTTCCTAGATCTGCGATGTACAATGTCCCGTCCGGAGAAGCAGCTAGGGAGGACGGAGCATTAAGTTTGGCATCTTTGGCATAGCCGTCTCCACTCTGGTAACAGTCACAGTTGGCATCGTTTTTGCAGTCACACTCTGAAGGAGTTCCCGCCACCAAGGAGATCTCTCCGTCCGTTGTGACCTGCCTTATCCGGTTAATCTTCTTCTCATCAGTTTCAGTAATGTACAGGACCCCACTGTAGGACACGGCGATGGCAGTGGCGGATTCCAGCGTCGTCTGAACCGCGTGCTTCCCCACGGGGTATTCCACCCCGGGAACCTGGCAGTGCATGGGCCGGCCGGCAGCAATGCGAACCTGACGGTTTTCAGTGATCTGTAAAACTACATTATTATCCAGGACATAAATGGAGTTGTCCATAGGGTTAATGGCGAGGTCAGTGGGCCATTCTAGACGTACCTTAATAAAAAAAAAAAAAAAAGAAATGGTCTGGTTAGTCAGTTACTGCACTGCAGTTAATTTGCCAGAAGACTAAATTAGACCATTTAGGGAAATTAGCCTTAATCTGATAAACTGTTATAAAATAGTTTTTTCAATAGTCACAGTAAAATAAACCCAAAAGTTCTGGATGGAGACAAATGTAAGAAATAACATTTTATTTTAAAATGTAGCTCATTGAAAGATTTGCTAGTTATAGCCAAGTAGCGAATAAACCTCTAAGTAGTGAGTCAATAGATATCAACGAGATATGAACCCAGATGTTCCTTATAGCAGTAATAACCGCCAAATGTTGGGGCTTTCTAGGTTATGAATACATTAGTATTCTATTGTGTTTTCAATCAGGCCAAGAGTAAAGTTTCTAATTCTAAATATAAGTCTCTTGGGACTAATCATAGTGGTTCTCTCTACTACTTAAAGAGCTCATGCAATCAAAAGATTAGAGATTTAAGCTGTTTTGTTCTTTTTGGAATATCTGCATGCTGCTACTTTACTGGTATTTTATTACAGATGCTTAGCATTTCTTAGTGATAATTGTTCTGTATCTCATTGAATTCATCAAATGCAGAATTATAGAAGAATATAACTTTTTATTAGCTCCTGAGACACATTTTAAATGGAACAGCTCTATCATAACAACTGCCACACATGATATATACAGTTTAATATGGTGCCATAGTATCTACTGATCATAATAAGTCAAGTCACTCAGAAGAAAAACAAGCAAGCCAGCTTAATATTTTAACTACCTGGCTGATGTGCATGCTGGTGTCACAAGTTAAGGGTCTGGCTGAAGTCAGATCATTAGAGCCCAGGAGAGTCGATATGATTCCATTTTGATCAACTTTTCTAATCATGGTTCCATCAACAAAGTAGATTAATCCGTTCTTATCAATCGCCATTCCTTTATTGGAGAGAAGTAAATATTACCAATTTTTCAAAAATGATTAATTTTGATTAAACTCCTAAGCCCATCATTAAGATCAACACTTAACCCCGGTGATAACATAGGTGACAGGCAGCAGGTAGGAGTGCAGGTTGCAAACGTGTGAGACAAGCAACATAGGCATTTACAGTACAAATAAATTTAAAATTCAGTAACAAAATAATCCAAATTTGTAAGATTCTCCAGTTGAGCGTATATCTGAATTACACAGGCAGTACTTGTATGTTTCATATATAAAATTATAATGTTTATATAATGACACAGTCTATAGATTATAGAAACATGTTCAAATTCTGTTTCTGCAAATGTACAGTCATGATATTCTTCTAACAAAATAGATCTAAGCCAAGGTTAGTGTTTTGTTGACCTTGTTACAATGAAATTTGCTATTATGAATAATTCAGTGCAAATACTTTTTTTCCAGTCCTTGTTCACATAAAAGTCACTAGCTATAATGAAAAAAAAAAAAAGCTCCAAACCAAAAAGCATTGTAATGAATAGCATAATACATGAGGAAGGAGTCAGTCCTCACTGGTTTAAAAGCCTTTATCACATAGAATTTTAGCCCTTGTTACCTCCAAAAATTCCTCGCAGCAAGCATTTTTTCCCATGGCATAGAAACAAAAGTTGAACAGCTCCAAAGTGGATGAGGGCGAATAGGGTTGCTTAGTGATGGTTTTTAAAGAAGTCTGGGACTCATTCATGACAAAGAAATTCCAGGACAATGAAAGAATTTGGACACTTCCTTGAAGTTTAACAGGATGTGACCTGAATTATATAGAGTAGTTGCTTCATTCTTTGAAGAGTTGAAAAAAAATGGTATGACATTAAAAAAATTCCAAGAACCTAATATTTACTATAAAATCAACTTAGGATTCTAGCAGGTTCGTGTTAAATGGCTTTTAAGAGCACTAGATGTGAAACAGCTCTTCAGAACACAGTTGAAGGCAAAATGTTAGACTGAGCATTATTAAATACAACCAGGCACTAACTGGATTTTCTCCTTTTGCTTTCATTTTATTTTTTTTTAAATAAAAAGAACTCCTCAAATTGGTAACTGCCAGCACCTTTGGGACTCATGAGTGTTGCTTCCACGGCCTTCCCGCCGTCCCCACACCTGGCTTCGTCAAATGGAAGGCACTGCTCTCCTGTCCCTGCAACTACTTCCGCGTTTTTAGTCAAGTCTTTGGCACCCGTAAGGGACTTTGGGCGATAAATCCTGCGCGTGTTAGTGTCAGAAACGTACAAATCTCCTGTGACGGGATCCGTTGCAAGGTAGTATCTATGAGCTGGGTTGCTGCTGTAAAAAGGATCACACGTACACATCACAAGAGAGTTACTCCCGATACACAGAGGGAAATTAAAAGCAAAATGAAACAGATCATGAGAAATGGATTATAAACTGGAATGTATGATCAAAGACCAGCAAATGAATAGTACTGTATATTTAATAATGACTTAAACAATGTGATCACAGGCAACCATTCCCTGATATTACTGTTTTCCTGCCTTGCCTGATGCTGAACATGCAACAATGTATTAACACCTATCTTAAAAATCATTACCTTTAAAAAAGCAGTGTCTTGCCTAAAACAAAGAAGCAAATCCTCTGTATCTTTTTGGCTCAGTGCAAAGCCACTATTAAACTGCCCATCAGTGACAGCCATAAAGTTTACTCCAGGGACAGGGTGTCTCTATCAAATTCTCCTGTGAAATATAATGTACTACTGATTTCACTTGTACTTCATCATAAGGAATTATTCTTTCAAATGGAAAACCTACCCCAGACAACATGTGGCATTTTGTTCGTCTTGGTTGCGCTATCATAATCTAGAAAAGTGACAATGTTTGTCCTGAGATATGGGAGTTAAATCCAAAAATGAGATCATTCCAGTGGAGGAGGGGGTCACCACTGGTGGCCTAATGCAGTAAGTCAGAATGCTACATCCATCAGTTTTATTTTTAAAGTTTGTGAACCGAGCTGCTCTGAAACCTGCCTATGGATTTCGTGAGACATAAACATTTGTTCATAAAATGTAACGCCTCCATTTTATAAATATAAAGTGATGCAAATGTGAAACATTTTGTGTCCCATTACCTGTAAAAAATGGTTAAGACCAACATTATCAAGGAATGGAAAAATTATAACATATTGTTGGAATTAAAAATTTAATCTTCTCACAAACACTCAACACTATGCTCCTAAAAATTAATGTAATTTTGTACCATGTGCAAATATTACCTTCTGGAAAAAAATCTTAAAATAATTTAAATGATTTGGTATCCCAACAAAGATGTCAACTGATAGGAATCTACTAGATTCCATATATTTTTTTTTTTTGTTTTTTTGAGACAGAGGCTCGCTCTGTCACCCCAGGTAGAGTGCAGTGGCATCATCTTAGCTCACAGCAACCTCAGACTCCTGGGCTCAAGCGATCCTCCTGCCTCAGCCTCCCGAGAAGCTGGGACTACAGATGTGGACCATGACACCTGGCTAATTTTTCTATTTTTAGTAGAGATGAGGGTCTCGCTCTTGCTCAGGCTGGTCTCGAACTCCTAAGCTCAAGCAACCCTCCTGCCTTTTGTTCAGAGTGCTGGGATTACAGGTGTGAGCCACTGTGCCCCCAGACCCCCAAGAATCTTTTCATGACAAACTTGGTTTTTACTAATTCCTCTCATTCTGTCTTTCCTTCTCTCTTTCTCCATAGACAGCCACCCACACCCACACCCACACCCATCCATTCACACACAGAGAACTATAAGCTCGTTTCCGTTTGATAAGTGAACATCTAAAATATGTAGTATAAACCTGAATCTAGGTGAACATTTTTATTCTAATAGTGATGTAGAGTTTCTCCTTACTAAGAGGTTAGGTTCTAATGAAACAATTCTACTACTTAATGCTTTTTCTAAGTGCTGAATATATGTAATTTATTGTTCCTATAAGAGATTCTATTTTTAAATGAACAGGTGATAGTTTTCACTAGTGCTTCTTACATTGGTAGAAAGGGACAGCAGATGACACGTGGTTCCCCTAGAGACCTTTGGAGCTCTCAAGAGCCCTGTGGCTGGTGGAGGGAGGGAAAGGGCATTTACTGAAACCTTAAAATCTGTACCCCCATAATATGCCGAAATAAAAAAAAAAAAAGAGCCCTGTGGCTGTGATGCTGGGACACAGAGAGCTATGAAGACACACCGAGGCCTGAACACCTTCAGTTTTGGATCTCCTTTTCGGCCATTAGTATCTTTTTGTGACAAGAGACAGATTAGAGCAAGAGGTCTTGCGTGTGTAAATATGCGTTAAAGGGCAAAAAGTGATATGAAGAACTCAAAGAAATGCAAGTCATTACGGAATAAAAACAATTCAGAACTACTAGGCTATAGAAATGATCAACTTGCCATGCTAAGAGTTATTATATCATTTTCCTAAGTTGATGCCTGAAATTTTAAATGCAGCAAGACATATTGTATTCCTTATGTGGTAGTTTATTACTTTCTAATGAGTTACATATCAATGTAACATTCAGAACAATTTTACCGAGGTTTTTCTTTCTTTTGGTAAATAGTCTGCTATTGACAGCGCTGGTCTTTCAGGTATATATAGTTGTTGTGACAGAGTTGCAACTCCATCAAGTTGGGTCTTTTGAAAACATGACATTGGAGAGACTTCTTTAGCCTTTCCTATCTCCCTGATTATATGGTAACTATGAATAGCTGTATAGTTGTTTATGAGTGTATACATACATACATACACACACACACACACACACATCTTTTTCTTGTTAGTTGTGTATCTATGAGTATAAGCTCTGGGCTAGACTGTGTGGGTTTAAATCCTAGCTTTGTCATTTACTAAATGTGTGATTTTCAGCATTACCTAACTTATCTGTGCCTCAGATCCCATATTTGTAAAGGTGATGATAATAATAGATATTTCATAGCATGCTGAGAGGATTACATGAATATATGTAAAATCCTTAGAACAGAGCCTAGCACATACTAGGCTTTTCTAGTACATACCAGCACATACTCAGAAAAAATGAACTATTCTTAATATTTGCTTTTGTCCTATTCCCTCTTACAGTGCAATATGTATTTTGCCTTATAACCTTAGAAAGTATATGAATGCAATAATTATTGTTACCTAAAGTATGACTTGCTTTCTGAAAATACTAAAAAATTACTTACACTGGATAGGTTCAAATTTATTTCCTTATTCTGCTGATATAGCAGTGGTCTATAATATCCTACACGATTGAAATTATGCAGACCTATTTTAAATATCCACTTCTTAATTGTTTAAAGACTAATGGTAAAAGTAAACGATTCATGCATACTTCTTCATGATGCTCTCATGTTTAGGAAAAAGTAAGCAAACCGATCTTGGAGGTGGCAGCTTGAGTGGTGCTAGCATACTATTTAGCTACGGGATATGAGCTTTCTTGGTAAAAAAAAACCCCAATGTTTATTCAAGTCATAACTTTGCCTTTATTGGCATCAGTTTTATTCTTGTGTGGTAGTAATAAGAGAATTTCCAGGGTGGGTGCTTATATTTGCTTATTTCATGTCCATGACACAATTTCGTGCTCTTTTTGCCTCGTTGGCAACTAGCCTGCTATCACTTTGAAACAGTGCAAAGGAAGCTTTCCATTAACTCCATATTCTTCCTATTGCGATCTAACAAAAGATATCTAAGCAACAAATTTATGATTCATGAAAGTTTATTCCTACTGACAAAATCATGCTGCCTGGGTACACTCATTTATAAAGAATCTGTCAAAAAGAAAGCAATTCAATCTAAGAAACTAAAGCTTTATGTATAAGACCCATACAAAAAGTTGTCAGAAATTTTATATATGAATATTTTTCTCTGACTTTATTATAATCTAGAAAGTATCCTAAAGAAATTCTTGCTTTGGCTATCATTGCAATCGCACTGGAACCTATTCATCTTTACAGGACTATTGATTCCACTACTGGCACTAACCCAAGAGACAAACACTTAGAAAAACACCTGCCTTCAATTTATAGCAGCACAATTCACAATTGCATAAGCTGTGGAAACACCAAGTCCCATAAGTCATAGTGATTCAATAAAATGTATATTATCATGGAGTATACTCACTTAGGAAACAATGGTGTATGTAATATTCCTGTATAGCGCCTGGAACCATTCTACTCCGTACAGATCAAAAGAAAAACAACACACATTACTCACCAGCAAATTGGTATTAACAATCACATGAAGTTGACATATAAGGATACATTTATCGCAGTTTCAGCAGTGAGGGGAGAGGATGGTAAAATACCAACCCAATATAAAGCTGCAAGTCTGGGGATGGCACCTTAGAGCTCGACCGAGGAAAGGTCCCATGGCAAATATGTAACCTTTTAGATCCAAAAAAAACTTAAACTAATTATAATACACGAAGGCTTTATCACGTGAACAAGCAATCAAAAATGTTTTCCATAAGATTACTACAAAGTCCACTACCGTAAAATACACAACAGTGAAATTCATTTCAATTCTTACTGACTCACAAATGTGACTGTCAGGAGCACAGTGCCTGGCCCAACTCCACACCTTGTCAGAATACCTGGCTGAATGAGCCTCCACCCTTGCATAACTCTCAAGCACGCGCCAGTAATCCTATTTGCCATTTATGTAATGCTTTTAAGGATAGTTTATTTCTCCAATACTGATTTATAATTAAGCCCTTCTTTTTGTACCGAATAACATTTGTATCTGCATAACAGCAACATGCTAAAATATTTAAATTTCCTCTCAATGAGCCACCAACACATAGCTTTATCTGTGAAAGCCAAACTCAAAGGTATCCTACAACCAGAAGCTGTCTGGCTCTCCAAAGTTAGTGCTAAACAGAGTCTATATACAAAATACAATCCTAATACGAGTAGATTACCATGAACTCATTAAAACATAAGCTTCAAGCTTCTCACTTGCAACTTCCAAGCCTACCATAATGGTATCTCATAATTTCCTCTTTTCAGAAAGAGGATCCAAAAATATAAAGCTCTAACAATGAAAACACAGATTCTTGGCCATTAAGATTAAATAGGTGTTATATAGATATGGTATTATATCACAGATTTATAACAGATAATTTTCAATACACTAAAATGTTTCCATCTCCAGTTCATCGCTTAGTGGCTAAAGCACTATTGCCGTGAATAAACAAAACTAATTCAGTCTGACCAGTCAGCTTTCAACATCCGTGTTTTCCTATTGTCAACATATCACCTGTTATCCGAGACACACTCAACTGCATCCGATTAGGT